ATCCAGATTCCTTTCTCTTCTCTTTCCCTCCTTCCCTCCCTCATCTCTTATTTTTTTTATCTCCCCTTCCCGCTTTTCTGTATCTTCCATCTTTCTTCCCTTTCGCTCTATCTGTCTTTTATGGTAATCTGCCTGCTTCTCTCTCGCTCTCCCTTCCTTCCCCCTCTCTTACTCTCTCTCTGTCTCTCTTCCCCCCTCTCCTCTCTCTCTCTCTCTCTCTCTCTCTCTCTCTTCTCTCTCTTCTTCTTCTTCTTCTTCTTCTTCTTCGCTTTCTCTTTCTCATTCCCTCCTTCCCTCTCCTTCTCTTCCTCTCTTCCTCACACCTTCTCTTATTTCCTGATCTCCCTTTCTCCTCCACCAAGTACACAAAGAGATCCTTTCACACGGTGTTCGATCGCCTCTCTTTGGGATCTGAATGTAAAAGATAACTAGGAAACGTGTCGGAATCCCACTGTTATTTAGAATCGGAACGCATTCACTTTTCATCCTAAAATGGGCAAGGAGATTGTTAACATCATGACTATTACTTCTTAAATGAGAAAGAAATGATGCTAGATAGAGAAATGTTAAAGTAAGAGCTTCGAGCGACGGATGATTTATTGAGAAAATGGGAAACTGTAAAGAAAATGGAGAAAATTCAGTAGGTTTCTTCCATTTTCTGTGCACGAGCTTTTACTTCGGTAAAGAGTGTGCTTATACAAACCTACGCACACGTGTAGGTACATGTCTGTATGCCCAATGATTTATCTAATCCATATAATTTTATCTACATTCATCTATCTACATCCTACCCGTTTATCCAACCATCTGTCTACACCCACCCCTCTTATCCAACATTCTATCTACTCTTTTATCCAACCATCTATCTACATCCACCCCTTTTATCCAACCATCTATCTATCCATCTCTTTCTCTATCTATACATAGACATAGTCCTTCGACGTATAACCCATTCACAGATTTTACTACAAGCTCATTCATTTCACAAAACAATTACTCTCTCTTAATGTCAAGTGATTACTCAGCAATTTGTGTCCCCATTAAGAGTTCCATTAAATCATTTACTTTCTCATGTTCTCACGGTCGAAATCATTTACATAAAATACCCACAAAAGAACCAAAAAGATTATACTTAAGCGGCTCTTTAAAGAATGTTTGTTTACATTTTCAGTCATCTTGTCGGTCAATTCTCCATTATCATTCAGTTTTATTATTATTATTACTATTCTTATTGTCATTGCTGGAATCATTTTTCTTTATCATCTTATTTTCCGTTAGTTATTATCATTCTCTTGTTCTTATGCTTCTCGTATTCTTATACTTATTATGATTATTAGTGATATCATTTATATTACTACAATTATTGTTATTACTTTTACAATTATTTTGTTTATACTGTTCATATTAGTATTACTGTTGTTGTTGTTAACATTATCATTATTATCATCATCATTGTTGTCATCATTTCTATTATTATTATTATTATTATTATTATTATTATTATTATTATTATTATTATTATCATTATTATTATCATTATTATCATTATCATTATCATTATTATTATTTTCATTGTCATTGATATCATTGTTATTATCATGTTTTATTATTACTATTATCTCCGCCAAGTTTTAGTAGCGTTGGTAACTAAGTTTGTTAGTTGGTTAGCAGGATAACCCAAAAAGTTATAAACAGATTTTTAGGACATTTGGTCTCCCTTAGTCAAACTTAGATGCGGTTTATATTGATTATTATCATTACTGTCACTGATTATTATTACTATTATTATTATTATGATTGTTATCATGATAATCATTATCAGTTTTATGATATAGTAATACTAATGTTGAACAAAAATCATAATGATGATACTGATAATAATGGTATGAAAATGATAATGATAATAATGATAACAATGTAATAATGATAATGATAATAAATCAACAATAGTGATGACAATAATAATAATAATGCTAATAATGATGATGATAATAATAATAATGATGTTAATAGTAATGATAATAGTAATGATAATGATAATGATAATCACGAAGCAATGATGAGAAAGATGATCATCGTAATAAGAATAAGAATAAGAATAGAAGTAATAGTAATAATAATAATGGTAATGATAATAACAATGTTCGTGATAACAGGGATAATGACAATAAAATATCAATAACAATAATGATGATAATGATAACGATAATAACAATGATAATAATAAAATTAATGATCATGATCATGATAATGATAATGATAAAATAATGATAATAATAATAATGATGGTGATAATAATGATGATGATAATAATTATTATTATTATAAAAATAATGATAATAATGATAATAATAGCAATGTTAATGATAATAATAATGATGATAGTGATGGTGACGGTGATGAGTAAAATAATGATAATGATAATAATAATAAAGATAATGATAGTAATAACAATAATGATAATAATGATAATAATAACAACAATGATAACAGCAAAATA